GGACTGGCACTTGTGTTGAGACCAAGCTTCTAACCAAAGAAGTCACCTAAGTTTCTGCTTTCCTCTCTGGATTTCTTCTTGATTTTTCTGCAATAAATATATTCAAGAATAACATATTTAAAAAAAAAACCTCAGCATGCTAATACGTGCTCAGTTTGCTCTCTTAAGGTAGGGCAGCTTAAAATGGTTGTGCACAGCACCTGAGAGTGACAAGTCGAATGTTCTTGATTTGTAGGTGTTACGTTTACAACAAAAAGGGTCGGCTGGTCAACGCACCCTACGTGGACAACTCCTACAAGTGGGCTGGTGGTGGCTTCCTGTCCTCAGTGGGGGACCTCCTGAAGTTTGGCAATGCCTTGTTGTACAGTTACCAAGCCGGACAGTTTAAAGGCAGCGCCGGCAAACTCCTGCCCGGGTACCTCAAACCGGGCACGGTGTCCATGATGTGGACCCCGGTGCCCAAAACAGAGGTGTCGTGGGACAGGGACGGCAAATACGCCATGGCCTGGGCCGTGGTGGAGAAGCAGCAGCAGTGTGGCTGCTGCAGGCAGCAGAGACACTATGCATCCCACACCGGGGGGGCGGTGGGGGCCAGCAGCGTCCTCCTCATCCTGCCGGAGGAGCTGGGCCCCGGGGCCGGGGGTGCCCCGCCCAGGGGAGTGATTGTCACCATTGTGTGCAACATGCAGTCCGTGTCGCTCAGCGGCACCGCCTTAAAGATTGCCAGGGAATTCGACAGGGAAAAACGGGCACAGTGCCCTGACTGAGAGCCTGGGAGTGTGGGACAGAACCCAGGTGGTGAAACAGGAACAGTGAAGGGAGGAGGTGGAATTGGGGCTCCGAGATCACTGAGAACATGGGAAGAAAAAGCATCAAAAATTCCCTTAATTAACCTCTGCTAATGGTGCTAAACTTAACTGGAATTCATCTCTCAGGGACGTTCCTAACTTACAGAAAAGGAGAATGTAACAGTCAAGTTTGACTTCCTCTAGTACCTGTGTAAATATCATTATATCAGCAAGTTATTTTTATCAACTAGTGAAACACTTGACCAAGATTTAAAAAAACCCCTAGCATTGTTTTTTGCACTAAGCAGTACAAAAAATTATCTGCCTTTTGAAAAACTTCACACCTTGCTTTGAGCACACAAAGATGTTATTTGTTATTCTCACAGTTCCAGTCTGCCAAAACTGTTCAGTATTACTTTTTAAAGAAAAAGAGTTTCACTGTTTGATTTTTGTTTTCCCATAGCACGTTTCTTATTTGTTTAAAAAAGCCAACAAAGCCCAAACCTTGATGCTACCTCCAGAATGCAGATTTATACCAGAAGCAGGCTTTTGTCAGAGCTGTGGATTGTTAAGAGTTAGAAAAGAATGAAGCCAGAGCAATGTAAGTACAAATCTTTTTGGTTTTCAGATGTTCTCTCATCCATTTTTATTGGACACGGAGACTGTGTGAAAAAAATAGTTTACTGTGCGGTAAGGGGATTATTTCTGCAGTCAGATGCACCCAAATGGCACAACGTGGTGAGCTGCCAAACTGTCCCTTTGTTTTTGAATGATCCACGTGCTAACTTGGTACCAGAAATGGCACTGTATCCTGTAAAGTAAATATTCCTTTGCACACAGGAATTAGGAACTCAGTAAAATGTCGAGCCCTTTCTTGAAGCCGGCAGTAGAAGCCTGACAGACTTGGGAGAGGTTTTTTGGAAAGCCATCCTTTGCTCCATTGGGAGGTCTTGCCTCAAGGAGTTACTTTGGCCCAAGGCTGAAAAAGAAATCGTCCTGTGTTCCAAAGAAGCATTTTCACAGAATCATAGGATTGTTAAGGTGGGAAAAGACCTCCAATATCATCGACTCCAAAAGTGGCAACTGGATCAGAGCACTCAGTGCCTCGTCCAGTTCATTCCTTGGACACCTCCAGGGTCGGTGACTCCACCACTTCCCTGGGCAGCCCCTTCCAGTGCCTGAGCACCCTTTCAGTGAAGAAATTCTTCCTGATGTCCAACCTGAACCTCCCCTAGTGCAGCTTGAGGCTGTTTCCTCTTGTTCTATTGCTGGTTCCTGGGAGCAGAGCCCAACTCCCACCCAGCTTCCCGCTCCTGGCAGGGAGTTGCAGAGTGATGAGGTCTCCTCTGATCCTCCTCCTTCCCAGGCTGAGCCCCCCCAGCTCCCTCAGCTGCTCCTCGTGAGATTTGTGTTCCAGACCCTTCCCCAGCTCCACTGCCCTTCTCTGGACTCAGTCATGTCTTCACTGGACTTCTCAATGTCTTCACTGAATCCACTTGAGGTGTGAGATTCTCTAATCTTTAATTTTACTATAGGAATATAGTAACATGGGATCTCCAAAATTATGTCCCAAAGATTAACCCCCACCTCGCTTCCCCTGCAGTTGCATCAGACACTGTTTCCAGGCTGAGAACAAAATGAAGTATCTTGTCACGAAATATCTCCCAGTACTTACTTTCCTGCACTCTTTTGCAGCTCTGCTTCTCTGAATTTAGGGATAACACCTAGCAGAAAATAGCTCTACCTGCCTCTTTCCCAAGTTAGTGCTTTCACTATTGACTTCCTAGTTGTTACCTGCCCTGTGATGAACGTTCTGCTGCCACCTCTGTTCCCAGGGGGCCTGTGGTAACATTTATCACCCAGCACTGACAAACCAAGACATTTAATATTTTGAGGGGTCAGTGTTGTACCTACGTTTTTAATTGAAGCTAGTAGGACTGCTTTAGTTTACTCTTCATCATTTAATCATTCTTGTGCCTTAAAACAGTCAAAGCTTATACCTAAACCATTTGCTTGGGGTTTCTGGCCCATTCACCAAAACTTCACTTTTTTTATTCGTTAATGATGTCATTAATAATTGTCTTTATCTCAAGAATATCCGATCAGTGAAAAAACAAAGAGAACCCTTCTGAATGAGCTTTCATTGGCCAGGCAATAAATTATCTCCCCTTCCACTGCAGTGTATTATCTGACAGTTCCAACCAACACAGAAGGACTGGAGGTGAGCATCTTCTGCAACAGCAGCTTGTTTTTCCTCCCCAGTCCTGAGCACCTCCTGCCTGGTAAACCTGCAGCAGCAGAAGCCATTGCTTGTAGGTTTATCCTTGTCTGCACGTGACCAAACACTAATAAATGTAAATATCTGAAGTAGGAAGTGAATAATGGTAAGAACTAAGGCATCTCCAACAGCAGGAGATCACAGATAGTGTCTCACTCCCCATACAGAGTCTGTTTAGCCGCCAGTTTTTATACGCATACCATGTTGTTTATACTGTTCCTCCTGTAACTTAAGGCTTTCCAAAAGCCTCTGTTGTCAGTGGGCAGTGCTGGAGATGCCGTGATGTCTACATTTCATCTTCCAGTGCCTGGAACAAAAAGGGTCACTGCCATTCTCTGCTGTGGTGTTTACTAAATCATGAGTTCTTACCTTTTGGGGTAGAGGAAGAGAAGGCAGAGAGAGGGGAGAATAGGAATCAGTCTGGCATCTGTATTCAGGTCACAACTGTGCTAATAGCGCTGCTTTGATCTTCCTGTTTTATTGGGTGGACTGGCATCACAGGTGGGAAACTGGCCAATTAAGAGCAGCTTTCATGATAAACTTCCTCCTGTTTGAACCTTCATTGTGAAAACATGGTATGGCACTGACTCAGAACTGTACTTCCCTTAGAAGACATGCATATGCCATTGGTATATCTGTTTCTGTAGCAAACACCTACCTTTTAAATCTGCTAATTACAAGTGTTCACTGCTTGAAATAACTGAAATAAAACTTAACTTGCAAATGCAACCACTTGTTATATCAGGTTTTGTTGTTTTGGGTTTTTTTTATTGACTAGAAATGTACATCCTTTAAAAGTCATAAAAAGAATACTGGTTAAATAGAAATTAGCTCACCAAGACACCTGATCCTCTGAAAGAGATGTGGATGCACAACTTGAGATATTATTTAGTAAAATAAGACACTATTTTTACTTTATTTGAATGTTTTCTCGTGGTTAAAAACATAAACCCGTTTTTAACAGCCATTTAGAAAGGCATGGCTTTAAGGAACTAATTAAACCCCTGTTTCTTCACTGCAAAAAGGTAATTATTTATTGTGGTTATTTAATACTGAAAATATGCAGGTTTTTAATGACTAGATGCCATTCACAGCTCTTAGTGTAGTTCTGACTTTCTACTGCTTATGTACCACATGCCTTCTCTATCCTGAGTGCTCTCAGAGTTTTGCAAAAGTCTCCTTTATTTTTCTGGTGTGTAGAAATCTCAGTGTAGAAAGCCAAATGCAGTCTAGAGACCAAAGCAAAAGGGAGGGGAACACCCTGCATTCCAGAGAAACAGCTGGACACGGGTGAGTAACTTCACATTTTTATTGATCACCACGTGATAAATCACCAGCATGGTGAAGGGATTACACTGAAAGCAGAGGAGCCATTTTAAATCTATCCAGCTTTCACAACCCTTGCAGTTAGGGCAGCTGCAGGAATAAAACATACAAAATGCATTCCTAAAGCAGATTCTGTCACTATATGTGTTATGTTGCTGTAGTTGATGATTAACAAGGGGAAGGATGCAGCCAAGTCTGAGGCTTTTACCACTCTTTGGAAGGGAAATTACAAAAATAGAGCTCAGCTGTCTGCAAACTTCCAGGAAAAACTTGCACTTCAAATCATTTATTGAAAAAGAGATTCCAGCAGATTAGTCAGCAATAGCAGGTAATTTTTACAAAATCAGTCATAATTATATTGTTGTAGTAGGAGGCATTTTTAAACTGGTAAGGCTTTCAGGAACACAGATCCAAAGCCACGTGCTTGAAGTGTTCAGTGTTGCTTTCTTCTAAATGAACAGCCTGGGAAGGAAACACATAACGTAGATGTGAACAGTCCTTAAACTGCTACACTGCCTTGAAAATCTGTCCATCCAGGGTAAAGAGGAAAACTGATCCAGTAAATTCAAATTTCATGTCCAAGAGGTGAAGACTTGGCGCTGCAAGTCTTCTCTAGCTCAACCAGAACAACATGGCTGCGACATAATTCATCTTAAGGTAAGACCAAGGGGTACTACTTTAAAATGTAATCTGTATGTATGTTTACCTTTTCTCCTTTAAACAAGAAATGAATGTAATCTGGGTTTTAATTTTTTTAAACCCTGAAGTGATTCCAGTACATTTCAAGATACCAGTGTTATACCAGTTACCTGTATATAATTATCAGTGGCTATTTGTTCCACTGTAATTACACAAAGCAGTTTTTTATTAAGGACTGTGGGCCAGGGAACTGCCCTTCAAACACAAGAATCTGAAGAAAAATTCCCAATTCAGGGTCCATTAACAGTGTATTTACTGGCCAGTAAATGTTCCAGTTTCAGTTTCCAGAACCAAAGCTAAAATATTTGCAGGCTATAAAATGCATTTATATAAATGGAATATTTAGGCAGGCTATAAAATGCATTTATATAAATGGAATATTTAGGCAGTCCAACGTTGCCCCTTACCTTCTGTGAGCCTGGCTTTGCCCCCCGTGGGCTGACACAGCACAGTTGAGCACCCTACACACAGAACCACCGTCTGAGCGTGGCTGAACACGGTGGTGATCTTGTAGCATCCTGCAAAACAGCATTTATTGAACTTTCCAGGGGGTATTTACAGCATGGTTTTATTGTGTGTGTTACTCAGTCAGGCACTCCGAGTACACCTGCCCAAAAATGCAGCTGGATTTCACTGCACAACACACCGAGTCAAACGAAGCCGCTCATGGCTGTGGACTGAAGTACCTGCTGGTCTTTACATGCACGGGAAAGCAAGTTGGGACTCCCCATCCGAAAATCAACACAGCCCGAAGGCTGACAAGGCCTAATTTGCCTGTAATATGTGTCCTGCAAAGAGGTGGATCGACCTTCTCTGCTGAACACAAAAACACACCTGCCCAGAGAAATATTTAACTAGTAACAGGAGAACACTGCTGTTGACAAAGCCTGGCAGCTGTGAATACAAACACTGCTGTTCCAACCTGTGTTTGCTTTCTGTGTAATCACTGGTACCGGTAAGGCAGGTGCTGGGTTGCATTCTATAAAGCCAATGTGACATTTTAATCAGAAGGCTTGTACAAAATACTTTCACTAATTTCTCACGCAATGCTTTCACCTACAACTTATAAGTGTCGTGACTTTAGAAAGAATGAAATCACTTATACAAAAAAAAAAAAAAAAAGGGGGATTTTCACTGCTTTTCAATTTTTCCCCCTGAAAAATACTTCCAATTAGCCAAAAGGAATTTCTGGAGAGAGAGAACTTGTAAAGGATGTAATCTTTAATGTTGTCTTCTACTTGAAGCTTGTGCTGTGGATGCTTTGAGGCACACATTTAATCTCACTTTTTATACATGCATTTTTTTTTCCCCTTTACTTGCAAGGGTTTCATAAAGGGGAAAACAAACAAACAAACAAAAAGAAAAACCTCATGCCAGACCTCCAGAAACACTTCTATTGTTAAAAAACCCCACAGCAATATACAAAGTTTTATTTCTAGAGAACAACCTTAGATTAAAAAGAAGATACTAAAAATGTATATAATATATATAATACATATATAATAAGCAGCTGTTTTAGAAGGATTTATAGCACTCATAGTTTTGCGCCCTCCGCAAGGCGTAAACATTTTAAATACTTGCCCGGACATTTCACATCCATGAAGTAGGAGTTGGGGCTCTGCACGAGACGCTTCTTTTTGTGCT